GAAAACTTTCGAAACAGCACTAGTGGAGATTGACAACAATATTTGCATTGTTAGTGACTCTCACCTCAGCGGATGCTATAACTGCGCAAAAGGTGCAGAAGCGCGCATAGACTGCAAATCGGAAGCAACAACAATAGGAGAAGTCCTTTGCCAGGGAAACGCATTCGTGATACCATGCGCCCCCTCGTCACCGCATTCAACGCTGCGCTTTCATTTCAGCAGCGCTAGACAAAATCTGAACTGCACCATAAAATGCGGCACAAAATCGCAAACATTTACGATTTCAGGCATTCTGAAATACGTAGGACCGCTACATCACGTTGCGCTAACTAAACTGAAAGGAAATAGCGCAATATATAATGAAATAGCATGGCCTGATTTCGCACATATCGCAGAACTTTTATTTAGTTGGTACAAAACCGTCGTCATAGCGCTCATAGCAGTCACGGGCGCTCTTCTAGCTACGTATCTTTGTCTGCAGACATTGGGTTGGAAAATACTCGGTTCCGTGCTAAAAATGGTTTTTGCGCTCACATTGCTTCCATTACGATTAGGATGCTACGCTCTGCGCATGATTGGTAAACAAAGGGCCAGAACGGGAAGAAAAATGGAACATCACATCAAAAATCTCTAACAGATAAAAGCGCCACAATTACATGTAGCAACTGTACATATAACTGAACTTTAGAAAAAACAAAAAAAAATTAAAAAATAATAGAACCAAAAAAAATGTTAGGAAAAATATAATTTTCAGACCAAATGAAGAGACTGGAACAAATACAAAATGAAATCCGCACGATACATTGCGCTCTCCAGCACCAGCAAGAGACCATGGACTACCTCTCAAAGATCCTCGAAGCAGTGCGCGCCGAAATTGAAGAGGAAGAAACAGCTGCGCAGAACGAGGCGCGCAAGCTACGAAAAGCAATAAACAACTTGACAACCGCGATCGAAGCAGCGCTGAAGAATCTAAGCTTGGATGTACAGTCAAACGCCGAACTCCTCAGCGAAGAGGGGGAGGGCGCAGACGCTGCACCTGTCAAGGAGGAAACTCAGCCAGAAGACATCGGAGTGGAATCGATGGAAAAAGGATATGACGACGCGCACATGGGTCAGCGTGAAGCCGAAACCAATCGGAACAACCAGGAATATGTCGAAGAACTTGTGATAGAGATGGAGGAGGCAGCGCCGTTCGAAGAACCGCAAGTAGAGGAAGTCCAAATGGAAGAACCGAAAATAGGAGAAAATGAAGCGCACGCCGACGAACCTCCAAGGAATGAGGAAGCGATGGAAAAACCTCAAGAAGCCCGCTTGCGCAATGAGGATTTGTTGTCAGCGCTACAAGTGGAGAAGAAGCAAACCCTGCAAGCGATACACGACTTGAACCTGTTGATAGACGCCCTGGAAAAGGAAAAAACTTGCGGGCCGCGTAGATACCACAAAGGCGAGATTCGCAAGGACACGGGAAGGAACATGTCATGCGCATTTTGTAGCGCTGTCGGATATCATTATTCCGACTCTTGCCCGGAGGTACCGACGGGAAGGGAAAGAAGAGAACTTCTCGAAGCGAGCAACAGATGCGAAACCTGTCTCGAATACTGCGCTGGTGGAAATCTTTGTCGGAAATTTTACACCAAATGTTTCCATTGCCGCGAGACAGGGCATCATTCCGCCCTATGCGAGCTACCCGACAGAAGTCAGGAGATTTTCGATCAAATTGAAGAAGCAGAGCGATCGAAGCAAGGAAACTTCCAGCGCCTCAAGCAAATCGACATGGAAATTCAGGAGCACCGCCAGGACCCATCTCACTAGCCCCGGGGGAGTATCGCCGCGATCGGATACGGTATCGTTATCGCCGTGATCGGATACGGTATCATCGCATGATATGTTTTGAGACTTTGAACTTTTTATTGTAATGTTTCTGTTATGTTTTCAGCTTGCGCGGCAGTCCTTGAGATGCAAGCGGCAGCGGCCGCTCGTGTTCAATCAGTCGTTTTTCTCCTCTTTTTGTCGACATTGTTTTCAAGTTATGCCTCTCATCTGCTGTCCATTTGGAATGCGCGCCAAAAAGAACTCTGAAGACAATTTCTGCTCAACGCACTTTTCAACAGTTTTCTCGTGGTCAATTGCGCTGAAAGAGGCCTATGCACTTCCTTGCAAACTCACTTCCAATTTTTGGTTGCTTAACAATAAAGTGCGCTTGTATCATTCAATTGCAGCATATTTTGATATTTTCTATGCCTAATTGCCATATCACAGTGCTTTATCTTTGTCATACATTTATTCGTATTTGTTGCAGACAAGTATTTTGTATGAGGGTTTAATTACCCAAGTTTGAGGTAAACGTTGCGCAAAGTGGTGTTGGGTTTGTTCTTCCTGGTTGTTAGTGTAACAATACCGCGTGGCATTTGCGAGCACAAACCGATTCATATAGAACAAAACATAATTTTCTGGTTTTTTATTGCGCCAAAAGTAGCTATTTTTTAGGCTTTTTCGTTTTTTTCTTGAAATTGAAAAAAATCTCAAACATTTAACATTATTTTAAGAGCGCATGAAAAGCTCGGTATGTCTTTGCTTTACGACTTTACGATATAGCAATGCAAGATTGAGAGTTGTTCAAAAAAAACCCCCCGTTCGAGTTCTTCAAGGCGCCACGCGTACAATTATGAGAGAGGAGAAGTAACGCGTTGCCAGAATAATAGGCGAAGGTCGGTTATGTAAGCGACGTTTGAGTTGCAGCCTGCTTGTTCTTGGAGAGAACAAAAAACCTCAAGTGATAAAAATCAAACTGCCCCATTTTTTACCGTTCACCCTAATACTTCTTGGCTATTCTAGAAATCATTTCAAATAACCTCCAAACTATGAAAGTAAATGCGGTGTCTACGCAAATCAGGGCATACGGATTTTTTGCCTGGAAATTGATAAAGAGGTCTTAATTAAGACACTGCCCAAGCGGCAGCGCAAATGATTTATTCACGGCTGAAAGATCTATCCCCAAACCCGCCTGCGCTGTGAGCGTAACTCAAAATGATTTCGCTCACATTAACATTGCGTTCGCGCTGGAACCCATCCAAAGTCCCTCGCAAATACGGTTACGGCGCAGGCGCGAAGTGTTTAGGGATGGATTTCTCAGCCATGAATCGCTGTTGTTTAGACAGTGCTTAGCTAGGAACCCCCTCCCCCATCAGTTTCCAGGCGAAAAACTCATGCGCCTAGGTTTGCCTGGACACTGCCTCTAAGAGCAAGCCAAAAGCGCAGACTTAGCATGTTGCCGTAATAGCCCAGTATTTTCGCACTATTTTCCATTTGCATAGGTGATGAAAAACGACTATATCTTTCCCTAAGAGAAACAATTTTGAATGAAATTCCTGTTGCATGGAGAAGGAGGTTTGGTAGGAGCAACGATATAGAAAACACAAATATTTGCATGCTCTGAAAGTAAATCAATAAGGTGTGGCATAATCCCTAACAAGGCATGGCAGCCGCAGCTTTTTAGGGTTGTGCCACACTCGCTAACTAACCTTCTAAAAAAATTTCAGCGAACAAAATATACAATGTTTGATAGCCAGAGTCTCCTAGTTTTTGTAGAAATGATTGCAGCTAATTCGTCCTTTTCTTTTTTGAGCAATAGTTGTTGGAAGGACAACCACTGTAAGCAAAAGATGGGACATATGAGATCTTGAAGGCACGTAATTCCATAGATTAATGGTTAGTTTGAACAGAATCCATGTTATGGGCAAACAGGGAGTAGAGCTTTGTATTGGGTGAAGAGGAATGGCCTGAATGGCCTAATATTTGGAACCCTCAGAATGCGCTAAAACCTGGCCCAGAGGGACTACTTGATAATTACGAAAATGTTGCTAATCATCTTGATAGAGCCCTAGTCATGCATACGGGAGGCGAACTATAATGCAGGGGGGGGGGGGTCGTATCCGGTGGTTGTGTGCCACACCTCTTGCTCGACCCTGGGAATAGTAGTGATAATCAGGGTCAAGCAAGGGGTGTGGCACACGATCGCTGGTTACGACCCCCCCCCCCCCTGATTGCTGTCTTAATAAGACCCCCCCCCCTGAACTATATACCTAAGATAGCATTACCAGAGTTGAGAAAGAGGTCAGGCACAAGTCTTTCGAAACCCCCCCCCCCTGCCATGAAAGCCCTCATACGACCCCTTCTTCCTCCTCTTAACCTCTGGACCTCAAAGTGTGACATTCTGGAGGACACCATCTTTTTCTAGAGAGTTTTCAGATTTCTGAGAACTGTACGCCCGATTTTCTGTGACTGCACTTTACAATCACACGTAATTTGACGGCTGATTTTGATCTGAATGGGCATATTGAAAGGGCCATAATTTTCTTATGGGTGGGGCTCGGCTCCAAATTTCCAATGTAGCAAGAAGGAGCTATGTGCCTCAATACTCATACCAGCAATGGAGCGCTTTCTGGATTTTGAAGGCAAGTTAAGGGGGTGTGCCGCACCCCATTAACTATATCAAAAAAACATTGGACAGTATTTATATGAATCGATAGCCTAAACCTTGTAGATTCCATAGGACTGTTTGGAGCCTGATTTGTCTTCTTAGCTCTAAGTAATATTTGGTGAAAGCACAGCGATCAAAAGCGAAAAATGGGAAAAACGAGATTTTGGTGGCTTCTAATTCCACAGTTTGCAGGTCTTCTGAAGCGGGATTCCTGAGGTGGACAAAGAAGGAGTAGTGCTTTGTCTTGAGTGCAAAAACGGATAGCTAATTCACCTTTGAAACAAAGTTAACTATGTTGGAAGACACTTACATAGGTGCCTAGTATCTTGAATCTTCAGAATTTGCTCACACTTTGTCTACAGGGGTTAATTGACATGCTAATTATGGATATGATACGAATATCATGTTATCACTATCATCAGATTACCCAACTACGACCCCCTCCCCTTTTGACTCCTCAATACGACCCCCCAGGTGTGGCGTGCCGCACCCCACGCTTGACCCTGGTGATAATCCTCACCTGTGCTTGCCCAAATTGGGCATTGCATATTAGTATCAACACACATTCCACTCAAAGCTGGATCCACAACCATCCTACAATTAAGAAAACTCATCATCCGTAAAAGATATTGTGCGCTCACCCAGCCATGGCTAACGAATTGGCAGAATTGTAAGGGTCAACACTGAGTCCATACGTTGGTGTGCCATATCCTATAACTCAAAGAAGTTATTTAGTTTCACAATCAAAATAATCGTTCGTAATGTAATATCTACTTGATCCATCAGAGAGATTGAGAGTACGTTTCAGTCCAAAAGCATTAAACCTGTATTCACAAAGCACATGATTAGCCTAACCTTATGGGTTAAACCTACCCTTAAGGGTAAACCTTATCCCGGGAAGCGATTAACCCTTATTCATCAAAGACTCTGAGGGTAAAGAGCATTCCTGAGAACGTGGCTCATCAGGATAAATTTAACCTTAGCATCGAGCAAGGTTGATTACTCCACTTCGTACAAACATAAAATGATTTCTATATGCACCACTCAGTCTTAACGATACCATTTTGACAACAAACAAATATCTCTATTATTTTTATTATCTCAGATTTCCTAAGCATGTTCGCCATACCATAGTCCTTAGTTGACATGTACTTCACTCAAAACTAAATTTTTTGTTATATGATAACATCAAACGAAACACAAAAGGCCATAGGAAGCTTGAGATAGTGGTAACCATAAATATGTGTTTATTGTCAAAACAGTACCGCTAAGACTAAGTAGTGCATCGAGAGATCACTTCGTGTTTGTGCGAAGTGTCTGAGTGGATCTAATCTTGCTCTATGCTAAAGTAAAGTTACCCTGATGAGCCACGTTCGTAAATACAACTTAATTTTTTTGGGATAATGTTTACCCAAGGGTAGGATTTAGCCTGAAAATTCGTTGATCGATACGGGTTAATCGCTTTCCGGAGTAAACCCTACCCTACTGTTAAGGGTTCGTCGATGAAGCCACAAGACACATACCTTTCGCCATTACAGCTTAGTCTGTACTTTGTTATGTAATAAAGCCTAGCAGGACTTCTGTTTAACACAGTATTCTTGCGTTCCCAAATTGGGCGGCCAAATTTGAACAATACAGGGGGTAGTAGTTTTACCTTCACGAGCGCGGTTAGTCGCCCATGGCACCGCAAGCATACTGTATTGATCCGAAAATTCACTACACTGTAGGAAGCGTTAGAACAAATTGGAGGAAGGGCCTAAAGAGGAAGAAAGGGAATAATGCAAAACTTTTGTGTGGTAAAAAGTAGGCGAGCTTTGAGACTAAGAATTTGCGTTGCAACGGCAAATTTTTTTCTGAATATACCCTTCAATTCAACTGGATTGGCGGCTGGAAGAAGGGGCTTTGTGACTTAATCAAGGCTAGAAAAGATCAGAGAGCACGTTCGCGAGGGAGACGCAAACTGCGTCGCCAACGCGAACGGTCGCGCTACAGCCCCAATCTCGACCAAAGGGTATTGAAGGCCCTGCAACCTCTCATTCTTCCTCCCCCCCCCCCTCTCCCATTCCCCTCCACAACCTTCGCAGGAGTTTTTTTTTTGGAAGGCATTATCTTTCCCGAAATTTGAGTCTCTTGCGGATTATAAACACCACGACCTTGTATATCCTCATATGGACTAAAAGGAGGTGGACGCCGACTGAAAGGACTTGTTGAGGTGGGTAACGCTGGAAGTGACGACGTTCTATGCTGTCCAAATCGCCCTTAGGGCCTCTTCGAGCGCAACTCACTCGACGTAGAGAAAGGGGACAAATCGTGTGGGACTTACCGTGGTTTTATTTAGGGAGCCCCCTAAGAAAAGCTGTGGATACTAAGGGCCGCATGCACTAACATCTGCGCTGGAGAGGGGATCGTAGCTTAAAAGAAGCTTCATGTTCTGAAGCTCCAGATATCTGGATTTCACGCTGTCTACCTGTCCGCAAGTATTCCTACAATTCTTCACTATGAACATATTAAACAGGAGTGAGAAGCTGTGTAAGCCGCATTTTTCAGCTTCTGTAAGATCCCTGATGATCCTCGGCGTTTTTTTTTCAAAGCCATTTTTATTTCTTTGAAGTTGACGAAAACCTTCCAAAGTTGTACTGATTATCTAACAACAGTGCTAGGCATATTAGTGATGAGAACAAATGAGTTTTTGAAAAGTCGGATTTTTCGGTAAACCTCAACTTTCGACTTGTGGTTCATCGCAAATTTGATGGCTCCGATACATCACTTGTTCTTATCAGCAACATGCTAAGCAGTGTTGGATTAGATAATGCACAACTTTGGAAGCTTTTCGTTAACCCTGGAGAAAGAGAAATGACTTCAAAGAAAAGCGCTGGGAATCATCAGGGATCATACAAAGGCTCGAAAATGCAGCTTGTGCAGCTTCTCGCTCCTGTTCAATGTGTTCATAGTGAAGGATAGTAGGAATACTTTCAAATGGGTACACAACGTAAAATCCAGATATCTGGAGCTTCAGAATATGAGGTTTTCTTTTGAGCTGCGATCCCCCCCCCCCCCCCCCCCCGCGGTGATGTTAGTGCATGTTGCCTAAGATTAGATCTTTGCCAAGACACATCAATATATTGAGGGATGAGAAGGTACAGGCTGCTGCATGACGAAAACGCTATATCTTGGGCGCGAACGCGGCTTTATTAGCTGCGGAGCGCATGAGGCGCAGGATTTACGATGGTGAAAATACGCGCGCGCCGCATTCGCACCCGCTCAACTAATACTGTTTCTGCGCCTTCGTCCTGCAACAGCCTTCATGCAGTGTGACTACGGTGCTAAAGAAGGCAAAGGCAAAGCGTACCAAGACCTGTCATGTAGCCAGTGGCGATACGCGACAAAGGCAGAGGACACGGATATCCTGTAAAAGAAAGGTGTGTAAAGAGAAACAACGAGTAAGAGCCAGCGCGTTCAAAATCTCAAGCCCTCTCTTTTGCCGGTCACTCCAAAAAGATTTTGCAAAATATTTGCATTCTCTAGCAAGCGGGCATGCTCCGAACGCGTTTTACTCTGATTAAAGCCTGAAATCCACCAACCCGCCACTTTTCCTCTCCTTTCCCTCGCCCGCCTTCCCTCTGTGGATGGTGTAATGAATAGTACAAAAACAAGGATTAAAGCTGAAGAAGAGTGTGAAAGAGAAAGGCAAGCATGAACACGAAATGTCCTTTGAGAATGAAATTTATGCGTTGGTTCGCTTATAGGCGCGCTTTGCAATCTAAACAAGACGTCATCACCAAGCTAACAAAAATTTCTGACAGCTATTAAAAAGCGTAACGGAATGGGTATGAAACCGTTCTATGCTAGTATGAAAAGTCTAAAAGGCAGATATATGTGGACAAAAAGTCAGATTAGTTGGTACCCAGCTGGAACGGCTCCATCTAGTTCGAGTTAGAGTTCATCTTTTCTCGGCTTTCTTTTGCATGATTTATAAGTATCTCACAAGCCATAATTCGAGATCCCTCAAGTGCAGACCAAATCTGTGTCATATTATTCTGTTCGTGGTAGAAAAAGTATCTGTCTGTTTGGTTAGCAATTTTAAATTCCCGTGTTGGCCTGATGTAAGTAACCCCGATTTTCTCCGAAACTCCTCCAAGGACCCCGCAAATCAATATCTCTTTGCTTTTTACTCCGAAAACGATCTCCAGCTCTGAATCATTCCACCGGACTTTGGCGGTGCGTGTGACATTCATGTTCAATCCTAATTTGTTTGTTATGTCATACAAAGGAATCACCTGTTTATATACTTTTCTTTTTGAGAAAATAGCATTGGACGGCCACTTTCCAGCCCAAGCTGTATAGGTAAACGTTGTGGAAGGATCAATGTTGTAACCATGCGATGTTTCACTTACCATATCGCCCATAATAAGCGCCAAGATACTGCGCCGCGGTGGTGGTCAGGGAAAGGAATGCTGAAATTGAAAAATGTAATCAAAACAGTGGCGGTCGCAAGATTTTCATCCGGAAGGGGAAAGGGGCAAAATTTTTTTTACATAAAGGTGCGTGGCGTTAGCCGCGCATTCGGAAAAAACTTTTGTACGGCTACAAAAAATTTTTTACAGGGCTAATTTGAATTTTTGAACTTTTTTGAAAATTATATTATTAATTTACAAGAATAAACAATTCGCTTGTTTTCATAACCCATGCAGGTAGAATTGCCCCCATTTCCCTCAGAGCGCCACTGCTAACAAAATAAATGACAATGTGCTGCATCTTATTAGGGTGATCACTAAAAAAAGGGGCACCTAGAGAATAAATGTAGATTTCTCAGAAAAGAAAAGTGATTAAACTTTCCAATTTTGCTAGATGTTAGAATAAATTGTTATCTTTCAGAAAATACCTATATAAGGTCATTTACATACGTAATAACTTTTAGAGTGGCTGTAATGCAAAGTTAGTCACTTTGACAAATTATAAGCTTTGGGCAGTATCTGCGCAGTGAAACATGTGAGACCACTCAAAGTAATACTGCTAGAGTGGGTGGTGAGACAGTCACTAAACCCACGACAGCTGATGGCCTCAACTTTGAAAGTCAGGAGATATAGCCATTAGCAGCTTCGAGGACAAAAATACGCGTTATTCAATTCTTTGCAGGTGAACGCATGCTTTCTAGGTACCATCTGATAGAGCTTTTTACGCTCTATCCATCCATATGCAGCATACCTCAGATTTCGTCTATCTTCGGAAAATACAGATGAAAATTGATTTATTGGTTTTTGTTGCGCCACAGAATCGCGATTTTTCAGGTTTTTCTCTTTTTTTTACCCAGAAATAGAAAGTAGTGTATGTTGTGAAATAGAAAGTAGTGTATCCTGTATGTTTAATATACTGTTTGAAAGAGCATGAAGAACTCTTTCGAAAGGTATATCAATTGCTCTATAACTTTACGGTATGGCAGCGCAAGAATGAGCGATGTCCAAAAAACCCTGTTCGAGTTCTTCAGGGCGCCACTCGTAGGGTTGTGCGAGAGGAGCGTTGAAGCTTTGCCAGAATAACAGGCGAAGGTCGCTTATATAAGCGACGTTTACGTTGCAGCCTGCTTGTTGTTGATCGAAACAAAAAATCTCAAAATCTAATAAAAATTAAGCTGCCCCATTTTTTAGTGATCACCCTAATAGAAAGGCATAAAAAAATTCTGCTAATTTTCATTAATTCAGGTACCTAGTTTGGCACTAGGAACTTCTCGCGGCCTGACTTCAAGCAAATCTGCGAGAACAGTTGCTTGAAAGCGAGCGAATAATATTATGTTGTCCGGAAAATAATGTCGCATCGTGTTTTAACATGCAATGTCGTAGCAGGATGGGCACGAAAGTAACTAAATGGGGTATCAACCGATAGATCAGAGTAAGCTCTACAAGATAAATCTCGAATCTTCGCGCCAAGTTTGATGTGCGTGAAGTTCGGAGCCAAATTTAATAAGGCACTAATCATCTGAGAAAACGAAAAATCGTATCTCCGTTCAGAAAAGCCCTGGGAGCCCCTAACTTGCTCACGCATGTACTCACTTTACGAGACACTCGTGTGCACATTTTATTTTCGCGATTTTTCCATGGTTGAAAACTGAGACAACGAAATTCGACATATTTTTGCCAAAGCAATCCTGAGCTTCTCTCACATGGGTGACTCTGTAGTATGAACCTTTAGGAGTGTAACCATGAGTTTTCAGCTTTAAACAAGCGCTAGTTTTCGAGAAAAATCGAATTGTTCGCAAAAAACCCGGAAAACATGACATATTCGCACTTTTGACTTATTTTCATTTCTCGAACTGTAGCCATGGAAAAATACCACAAACTATATATTAGGTTGAACCGAAAGTTCGTTCGCACCATTTTCAAAAATTCATAACTTCAGATTTTTCCAGCCGATTTGACTGCATTTATTTTTGTATGAAAGAGTAAGTCATGCTCTTTATGAAGACATTTTAGATGCTTCCGAACGTTCATCTGTTGCATAGATAGGAGCGACAGAAGAAAATTGGTCAAAATTTAAACTTTCTGTGTAGGGTCATAAAAAATCGGAAATTTGCAGCAAAAATCGGAGCAGTCGGTATTGTAGGTTCCTTCACCAGCTCTTTCAAACAGTGCAAAGTTTGTGCTGATTCAGCGTCTCTATGAAAAGTTATGATTTCCCTGAAAAATGCCAAAATAAATCAAATTCGCCCTTTTCCATTGCTTGCTCGAAAATCATAACTTTTTATAGAGACGCTCAATCGGCGCAAACTTTGCACTGTTGAGAAGAGCTGGTGAAGGAACCTACAATACCGACTGCTCCGATTTTTGTTGCAAGTTTCCAATTAGTAAGCAGCTAAGATGTCATTGTAAAGAGCATGACTTACTCTTTCACACAAAAATAAATGCAGGCAAATCGGTTGGAAAAATCAGAAGTCATGAATTTTTGAAAATGGTGCGAACGAACTTTCGGTTCAACCTAATAAATGAAGTCTAGTTAGAGAGTACATGCCTGTGCAAATTGGAGATCCATGAGACTTCTATGAACGGAGATACGATTTTTTGGATATCTGAAAATTTTTATATTTTGGACTTGAACTTCAGATGGAGCACGATTTCCGCGGAGGTTTGTAGACTATCTTGTAGAGCATGCTTTGCTCTATCAAATGATACCCCATTTGCTGTTTTCTGTGGTTATTCTGTCGCGGTAGGATACCATGCGACATTATTTTCCGGACAACCTAATACATCCACTGACTGTAGTAAGACCTACATTAGCTCTGAATTTTGATATTCTTATTTTCTATCAGCGTAAAAGACTTATTTTTGTGCCTTTTCACTACAGCCGTCCCAAACAGCACACCATTTACAAATAGTGGTTGCTGTCATCGCAAACTAAGTTATCTCCCAAAAACTTTTGAAGAGGATCTCATTCGAGCAGCGAGAGTTTCGTTTGGTTGCCCTTGCTCACAATGGTCTTTTCTCTCGTTCTCCCCACTCAGATAATCGCCGGGGGCAGGCGGCCATGCGAATTTTGAGCAAGCGCGCACCGGAAAAATAGTTCGTTGATTTTTTGCCGCCCGCTTGCAGAAATTTGGAAGAAAATTGGCGAAATTAACGACGAATGCTTGAAGAACAATCGCGGTTTCTTTATGGATTAGCTGCGGCGCAGTGGCCGCATTCTCGCGGACTTTCCGCGAGAATATGCAAAATTATTGAGAGCCGCACGGTCCTTTTTGAAGGACCGCACAGCCCTCAGGTACTTTCCGCTGAAAGAAAGTACCCCAAACTTGGGTAATAAAACCATCGATGGCACCTCTGCCACATAGAGTCTCATCTTTTCTCGACGTACGCCCGAAACCGCGTAAAAAGAGTCCGAGCGCCTGCTGAAAGTTTGGCCAGCGCTCGCTGAAAGAGATTGTTTGACGAGCGCTTGCAGAAAATTTTGTATTGATGCCCGCTTGCAGAAAACGGAAATACCGCCCGCTGAAGATTTGGCCACGCCCCGAAATCCTGCTGACCGCCTGCAGAAAAGCGCGAGTTTGCGGACCGCCTGCCCCCGGCGATTATCTGAGCACTCCTTATCCAAAAGGGCGCGCAGTTTTGTAAAAATTCAAGTATGTATACATCATGCATGTCATCTCCCACAAGGAGGATTGCGGACTTCTTCTGATGACGTGGAAAAAGCTGTTGAACCTCCACGTTATAGTATTGCTTTTCCTATTCTCTTGCTATCGCAACTGTTACGCTTTGGGCTGCTACGGCTGCGTCTCTATCGAACTCGGGAGCCAAAAATGTACAGAAAAAACCTAGGACTGAGTAAGCACCTTACATAATTATTGACAAGTTGAGATCACGGTGACGCTTTTTTGATTGATCATCGAATGCACTGAGGAGAAATTGGTAGTGGTGGTGAGATTAGAGAGTTGGGACTGTGCATTTCCCTGTTTATCAAGGTAGGTGTCGTTAGCTGCGTGTTGTACAGGTTTTTTTTGTTGGGCTGTTTGGGCTTGGAACCTATCGTTGCTTGATTTGAATAATGCGAAACGGTTTTTTTTCCAAATAAGTCGTCATGTATTGATTTTTATCTTTGTGTGAGCAAAAAAAACTGTCTCTGTGGAAGAAAATTTAATAACTTCTACACTTCTACATATATAGATATACCGCTACTGCTACATACATCTTATTGACAGTTTATTCTTTGGAAGAATAAGTCTCAGTACCGCAGAACTGTAGTGACCGTGTATTTAGAAAAAAATCAAAAAATTATACTGTTTTGGATGTTTTTTGACACTCAGCTATTCCATTACATAAAGTCTTCACCAAGTTGGGTTGAAGCCCTGTGGACCCTCGTTACAGATCATAACTCGCCTCGAGTTTTAGCTATAGCTGGTAAATAGCCGCTGTAGCTGCAAGCCAGTCAAGTGCGACTATACAGGATTTCAACAATAAAGTCCTGCAGAGAGAAAAAAATTAATTGCCAACATTCTTAGCCTATTTGTAAGAGGCACAAATTCTTAAAAAAAAATTTTCTTTTACTATCAAGCATCTGGATGATGTAGTTGCAAAAAGTTTTAATAGATATCCCTACTCCCGCGCTTACAGAGCTGAACGCATATTCTGATCGTTTCTTTCAGAGAACGTTCGGGTTTTAGAAAACCCGCTGCGGGCTATCCATTTTGGGTATATACTTTTAGTCCAAATAATTTGAAAACAGGATGACTCAAGAGTAAGTACGCATATTTTGATCGTCAATAACTCCCTTCTCACTTAGACTTTTCCTTAGCTTCAAGTATCATTCAGTACAGAAGTCTTCATTAGACTTATAGTATAAAGCGAATCAGCCATTTTTCCTCATTATTATGATTACGACAGGAACTTCCAGTATACAGCGTCATTGTGAAATAGACCGTCGACAAAAACCCAAAAGAATCTGAAAAGTCGTGCAGCAGTGTTTTCAGACAGCAGTGTTTTCAGACATTGACGTCTGACTTTATCAGACAACTGTTTATGAGGTTTAGCAATTTTTATTCAATCACATTTTTGAAAAACATTGAAAAAACGTCGTTGCGGTTCACTTGGCATAACTTGTGAAAGCCTTATGATAAAGTGTCTTAATTAGCTGCCTAATGATTAAGTGCCTCCTTTACTAAATGGTACTTAACACTAAGAAAAAAACTCAATGGGAAGAGAATTACTAACGATTAAAAAGTGTGTGTTCAATTTGGGACACCCTGCATAATAAGTGAGCAATAAGCTGACAATACATCTTTCACGTGCGATAGTTACGCGAAATTCCGGGTATGTCGCGGAATTCCCGGAATTTCGCGAACCTTCGCGGAATTTCCGGAATTCTGCGACATTCACGGAAATTTTGCACATTCTGTGAGCGGTATTGTATGTCATCAAAAGAATGCAATCATTTGCAAGTGAGTTTTGGCCGAGGAAGTGGATGTAATAAAATATGTGTTTTGACTGTGGGTATATCTGTAAAATCCAAACAGACGAGGTTAGAAGCCTATTGAAAACATTAGAGATCGAATGAAAGAGACTCAAGCAGTGCGAGTTTTGAAGAATGTTTTGTGGAAAAAGTTGTCTAGAAAATGGCCTAGAAAAACGCACCAATTCTGAATCAACCCAAATTCAATATCTAGGAGCAGAACAAGGACAATTTCACTAAAACATTGAGTAACGTACCTGTAACTAAAACGTTTACCATCATCAGTATGAAACCAGCTCTTGCACAGGCATTTTATAGGATAGCAGAGAGATATAGGATTAACGACTGGAAAATCCTACCTGAGCGAGATTTAGCGGCGGATGACTAGTCGTGATTGTGCGATTTATTTCGGAAACTCGATTACGTGAACGAGTACGTGGCTACTAGCGGTCCTCGGTGCATTTTGGACAAACAAACCAGTCAATAATTTGATCGATATTTGTTCGAGGACTCATTAGTGACCAGGAGTTTCACTATCACCTAGAAAGAATTCTACAAATGCGCGCTATAAGAGCGCAAGAAAACAAAGTTACGTTTAGAACAAAAGAGGGCATGAAATTATTTACAACCAGCTGGCATAGCCGGGTCCGCTCGACCCTGTCAATACCCTATAATAGTCACCGTATCTGCATAACATTTTCCTGTTCCGGTTCCAACTTTATATGCCGCTGCCCACTCCACTACGTTTTTGTAATCAATATTCTCACTTCCTCCCCGTTTTCCCCCCACCTGGGTAAACTCCCAGCCCTTCCCGTAGGTCATGCTTTGCTATCTATGAAATCGATAAAGGTGACGCATAATTCTAATCCAGCATGTGTCTTCAAGCTCCTCGTAGAAATTGTCGACGTCGCTTTCATCAGCTACCTTTGTGGGTGAGTAGCAGTTGATGACGCTTATCTTTCTCTGACGTGTAGCGGCAAGACGAAGGACTGCTAATCGTGGTAACAGAATTTATTTATTTATTTATTGCATAGGAAAGTTCCTATGTCAACATAAAACAACAACAAAGAAAAAATGTGGAAGAAACTCAACAAATAGAACGAACTGCTAAACTAAACAAACAGACAAAAATGGTAGAATTGTTAATACGAAGACTGAAGGTAGCTTCTTAGAAACTTTTTAAAAAGTGATAGCTTTGCTACGAACATCTTTTTTCTCATAATCGTATCCACATCGTGGGCCACTCGGCACGTAAAGAAATTTTTCCTTACATTTAGCCTTGCCCTTGGTATTATAAGCTTCCTAGTCCCTCCTCTAGTATTGGAACATCTAGTAGCAATAAAATTTCTTGCGTCAAGCTTACATTCACCAAATAGAATTTTATGCACCATAATCAAATCGAATTTTTTCCTTCTGTAAGCAAGAGTAGGTATATCCAGATTTGCGTTACGAACCCGACTGCTCGGTATCTGATCGTATCTAAATCCGACCGTTCTTATCAACAGTTTCCTAGTAAAACTATTTTGAACCTTCTCTAAGTAATCAATTGTTTTTCGTGTGTGCGGACTATAGATCACCGTACCGTATTCCAATATAGGTCTTATGTAAGTCTTATATGCCCTCAGTAAGACTTCAGGGTCATTGCATGATAATCCTCTGTAAAGGTTATAAGTAGCCATCGTTGCCTTATCCGCAATTGTCTTACAATGTTTGTCAAAAGAAAGATTGCTTGCAACCAGAAATCCCAAGTCTTTTATATTATCAACAGCTGCAAGCGTTGTTCCTCCCATTGTGTAGCTATATCCAGGGTTGCTTGAGCCCATGTGAAGTACTTTGGTCTTTTCACGTGAAATAGGCAGACCCCAATCCTCTGACCAATCAAAAACTTCATTCAAAGTGTCTTGTAACTGCCTACGACTAACTTCATCGTTGACTGTTCTATACAATTTAAAGTCATCAGCAAATGCGCAGCAATAAGTATCTTTGGACAGTGGTATAAGCGGGAGCTCGTATGTATATATGTTGAAAAGTATAGGCGAAAGTACGCCTCCTTGAGGGACCCCACATCCCATTTTCCTAGGAGATGAAAACTCCTGATTGATATGAACCACGAAGGTCCGTTCTTTTAGAAATGCTTCAATCCAGGATATTATTCTCGGATGTACTCCTACAGCCTTGAGCTTGATCATCAGTTTGGAGTGTGGCACTTTATCAAACGCCCTAGTGAAATCTAGATAGATTACGTCAATATTTTGCCCCCTATCTAACTGCAATGTCCAATCATTGACCGCTTGTAACATTGCTGTAACCGTCGATTTGCCACGCTGAAATCCATGCTGTGCATTTGAAATCACATTGTTCTCTTCTAAATGCTTAACAATATGTTTTTTTAATATTTTTTCAAAAAGCCTTGCGAATATTGATGTTATGCTGACAGGCCGAAAATTTTCTGCACTAGTCAGCGGCTTTTTCTTGGGTATCGGTGTGACAAAGGAGAGCCTCCAACGCTCAGGAATTTCAGCTCGCATCATACTCAAATTGAAAATATGTTGTAATGGCCCAGAAAGTATGTCTGCAACTGATTTAATAAATTGTAATTGCAAAAAGTCAGGTGTAAAAGAAGTTGATTTAGGCCACCTAGTCAAAAGCAGATAAATGTCTTCACTTCTAAACCAAACCCCGTCACTCATCGTTGGGAAGATTGGAGGCAATTCCCTTTGAGGCTCATTAGAGCTTTTTTCTTCAGCAAAGGTCCTTGCAAAAGTATCCGCAAAAAATTCAGCTTTTTCCTTATCATCACTTATAACCACACCATTGTCTTTACGTAGAACTCCCAGCTTGCTTCTATTTCTAAGCCGTGAATTCATCATTTTATAGAACGCTGATCTATCTCCAGAGTTGATTACCTTTTTCTCAAAAGATGCGTTGTATTTCCGAAGTAGCCTAGTAAATTTGGCATTTAATCTTTTGAAATTTAAACTATCTTCAGCGTTGTCACTATCAGCTGCAATTAACCAAGCTCGCTCCCTCATTTGATAGAGTCTACGAAGATAATCAGGCATATTTATCTGCCCCATATGGCGCAAGGACCAGGGGACGTAGAGATCAATCGCATGGTTAATTATTGTTAGGAACAGCTCATACATTTCATTCACCGTGGTAACGGTCATGAAGGAACCATACCAGTCAACATTAGCTAGGTGCTGCCTCAACCCATTTAGATCTGCATTTCTGAAATCCCTGTAGCTGACATACTCCGTCTCTCTTTTTTCATAATTGCTTATTTGAAATCTGAGCGAGGAATGATCACTGCTACCAAGGGGAGACTCCACGCTTATTTCACTAACCAAATTACTCCTATTTGTGAATATGAGATCAAGTAAATGTTCCCTGCATGTATTGGATTTAACATGCTGCGACAATTTGTAAAGCCTACACATTTGAATGAAGCTTCCGACAGATATGGACGGTGGTTCTGAGGTGGAGTGGTCTTCCCAATTCACGTTTGGTAAGTTGAAATCCCCCATAAGGACTGCGGGATTTTGACAGGCTAATAGATCGGAAAGAGCTTTCACCAATTGTTCTGTACCAGAAGCGGGGCAAGAAGGGGTTCGGTATACCAAAATAAGTCGCAAAGTGGTAAATGTCATAACATCGCAACACAAGATTTCGTAACCCTCTAAAACACACTCTTTGAACACTAAAAACGAATTCAACTTTTTCTCAATGGCCAGTAATACCCCTCCTCCCCTCTTATCTGACCTGTCGCATCTGTGTATATCATAATCCCAAGGCAAACCTCCGAACAGAGAGCTATTAGAAATATTTTCGTTCAACCAAGTTTCGGTTATTGCTACTATAGAAATCTTATGTTGAGTAAGAAGAAACCTGAGATGATCCATATTCTTGCATAAAGAACGCGCATTAGCAAGCAAAGACTTCAAAGAGCTACCTTCAATCCGAGGAATTATTGACTGTTTAAAGGCACACGCCCCGGCGTACCAGGTTGCGCGTTTTCAGATAACACATGTTGTTCAATACAATCGATACCTTGTGTTAGTCCTTGCTGAAAATCAGAATGCCTTGCGCTGGAACGATTGCCCCTTTCGTTGCGTAATCTGTCCCTCTCTTCTTTTGTAAGAGAGGGGCGGATGTAGATCCCATGTGCATATGGGAAGCCTTTCAACTTAGGTGCCCTCTTCAGCGCAAGGTTTACAAAGAAACGAGACGGCATGACAATCTTTAGGAGCCTATTATAGGTGTGATGGGGTTTTCCCATTCTATACACGGAAGTGGGCATGCAATCAATAGAGAGGTAGTCAAAAATTTGATTAACACAATCCCTATCATGGTTTACTCTCATCCAACTACTAGGGCATCTATTCTCTGGAACACCGCTTATCACTAAAGAGTGTAGACGATCACGTTCTTCACACGTACAACCAGAGTTTGGATTGGTATGAGACGTAGAAATCGAACATTGAGTAGAGGGCAGAGGTTGCGGCGGTGATCGCTCAATACAAGATCTAAGGCGCTCGTTATCCTTACGCAATGTATTGATTTCCTCAGACATTGATTTAAGTTGAACAAGTAACTCACGATTCTGTTCAGCTACCATTTCGTAGAGTTTCCGGTTTTCCATCAAAAACGCCACAATGGTCCTTGCGTAGAGTGGGAGGTTTTCGTCTTTTAGTAGCTCTTCCGCGGCTTGATTGAAGTCAGGAGGTGTGGCGTCGAATTGTATCCTGCGCTTCTTTTGTCGTTCGATGGGTTGGAGGGGATATATGGGGGTCTCTGTCGCCATCGTGAGGAGGTAGAAGGAGTAGAATACAGGATCCACAGAAGAATTTAGCCAAATCAACAGCAGAATGTAGCCAGCGTCGTCAACCGATATGGGGGCACGGCAGAGGGATCACAAATCGACCGCTCGCAGGCAGGCCAGGGTGCCGAATGGCAGGCCAGGGTGCCGAATGATTTCAATGATTTCGATGATTTCATACCTAAGAGTCGAGAGGTGGCTAACGGATGGATGTAAGACAAAACCTAAGCCTCCAACGTTTTGATTTGGAACCTTCTCTCCTAGTATAACAAAGGTTCTATTCTTTCTCTTGAGTGTAAGCGAGTTTCTGTTCTTGATTTGCTGCAGCGCGATTACATCGTATGGGTTGTTTCGTATTGCCGCACTGTCTGCAGCAGACTGCAGCTGACTGCACTGACCGCAGCAGACTGCAGCTGACTGCACTGACCGCAGCAGACTGCAGCTGACCGCACTGACCGCAACGGCCGCGCAGATCGCTGCATCCTTTCGTAAAAAAAGAAAACAGTCAAAACACTGTGATTTACGCCTAGGAAGTTCATAGG